AGAGAGAGAGAGAGAGAGAGAGAGAGAGAGAGAGAGAGAGAGAGAGAGAGAATACATTGAGTACTCGTTGTTTTGGGGTTCTTTAAAGAAGGGGTAAAAATGTCCTGGAAAAACATAACATATCTATCACAGACGCCACACACCTAGCACAGGACCGAAATCTTCACACCCCCTCGACATTCTAAGGATACCAGAGGAAGGGGAAAAACCAAAGCGTAAGTAAAGAAGAGGTATTAGTCCCTTATGCCTACAGATTTTACTATTCAGTTCTTTTTATGTGAAACTCGAACAAAGTCATCCAGCAACATGCATAGTATGAAATAGACTTAGGCAAGTTTATGTTTCTGATTTGTGTATGGTGGTTAGAAATGTTCTGCAGCAATGTCTTTGGTCTGCTGCAGGTGGAACATAATATTAATGTTACATTGTATGTGTCCCCTACACCCTTAACGTATGTCGTGTTTTACTATCGTGTCCATACGACCTGGGGAACTCTGTGCTACCACATAACCCTATCCGTACGTCGTGTTTTACCATCGTGTCCATACGACGTGGGGAACTCTGTGCCACCACTTAACCCTATCCGTACGTCGTGTTTTGCTATCGTGTCCATACGACCTGGGGAACTCTGTGCCACCACTTCCAAATAAGAAATTTACTCGTTAATCCGATCCGATCCATACGCTTTACATAGCAGTCTGTCAAAATGATTTTTTGAGAAATACTGAAAGTTTCAAAGAGATCTTCGTACTAGGAGTATTCTAAAATGTGAAGAATACAACCCCAGAGGTACAAAATGACCGACCCCCAGGCGTATGGATAGGATTAAAGAGTGAAAGGTACGGAGGGCGTGGTGCGGCCTTTATCAACGCCTCTGAAAACACTCGAAAGTGCTGTAAAACTCTTCTTTCTCAAACTGTCTACAAAGACTGACTCACCCAGCAGGGATCTTCCCGACCACCTTGATGCCCCAGCGATCGTGGAATTCGCCGTAATGACTGGCTAGTGTGGAGGCCACGACCTGTACAAGGAGACAGAAATATATACAGATCGTTCTTAACGTCACCATCATCATCATCATCATCATCATCATCATCATCATCATCATCATCATCATCA